CGACGTATCATTTAGGAAACTTGGATTACTTTACTATCATTTAAAAATAACTAAAATGTCATTCATTGTATGTGTGTGTATATATATATTTTTTTTAATGGAAACAAAAAGGAATGTTGATTTAAGTAATTGAGCAATTAAAAAAATGTTCTAGATGAAAATAAAATCATTGTAAAATATTAAATCTTAACCGTGAATAAAGAGTTTTTTCCCATATTTAATTAATATTTATCTGATCAATTTTATTTCCAGTTCTCGTAAATCTTGTACTACAAATTATCCTAATCATCTTCTAATTATTTGCAAGTTTTGGATTTGAGAGATGAGAATAATAATAAAAGTAGTAATAATGTTCAGATCAGTTTTCCCAATTATGTCTATACATTTTAAAGGCTACATATTCACATTGTGCATCCATCTTAATAGCGTCATATACAGACTTATACAACAATATAGTTATAGTTACTCACTTACCAGCATGTATGAAACTGGCCGATTCTAATTTATGAAACTTATTGTCTTGCCAATCAACGTAATCTCCTACAAGCATATTCTTGACATATTGGTCCTTTGAGTTCACGTTCCTTAATCAATTTGACCTTTACCAGCTTCACATACACCGAGTTCACACTATCCTAATAATTATATCGTATTTTTTTTTTGGTAATTGGGAACTGTTCTTACGTTTAGATACGCCAAACTGCATTCATCCCGTTTATATTCATAAAACAATTATCAACAAACGTAACATATATATATATATCACACTAATGTTGGTTTCCAAAACTAGAGAGTTTCGCAACTGTGCGAAAGTCAAAAGGTTTCGCCATAAGTCGAAACTAGTTTTGACATTTGACCTTTGACTTTTGATTTAGTTTTGATATATAAATTTTAATTTTAGTTTTGACTTTCGCTTCTTCAAAATAGTTTCGGCAACCAACACTATATCACACTTTATATCATAGATAGTTAAATTTTACCTAAGATGTTTTCCTTTATCATAAGTTTCTCCTTCCCAATCTCGTGTTTTTTTTTGAATTGACTAACCAATGTAATTTAAAGACCATTTAAAACCTTGGGAATCTCATCGCTCATAACCATTAAATGAATAATATTAAACTATTTTAACCGTTTAGAAAATTTGATCCAATTATAGCAAAAATTACCTTATAAATTTATTTCAGCCCTAAAAATATCATTTATCCGCTCAAGTTAATCCTATCCGTCCACTAAATGCCTATTTTAACCACTATTACAACAAAAATCTATTTCAGGCATAAAATTCCTAACATAACATTTTAGATATAAGTTTCATCGTCAGGGTCTAATATAAACCCATGTTGAGGTTTGATTTTAATCCAAATTATATAATGAATCTTCAAAATTTTTTATTCAAGATTTACTTGAAAACTTTATTTGATTACTCCATTATTATTATTATTATCCACAGATCACTTGACTTTGGTTTTTCAGTTGTTTGCTTGTTTTATCCATTAAAAAATTTTTTTTTAAAACTTTAAATGATGGATTAGCTTCAAACACAAAGCAATCGACCTTGACCTTTTAATACACTTGAATCAGCATCACCTCTTCAGTACTATCAGAAGGATCGCTTTTATTTGATTCGGTTAGCTTGGGATCTACTTTGTCACCATTTTTTTATGAAATTTCTTGGACCTTAAATCATACAAGAAAAACTAGGTATTACCTCCAAAATTTTGCTGAGCCATGTTTCCAACTTTCTTGATATATTTGCTTGTTATGCTCGCTCCAAAGTGAAAGCTATTTAAAAAGGATCGGGTTATCAATAATCGCTGTAAATTACAACTCGGGTCACAACCTGCAGTTACAAAAAAATGTAAAAGGTTGATCAATTAATTATCATGATTACGTTGCTTCATCCAACCAAATATAACATTTTTACATTTAGCCATCTTTATGAATTGTAGATTGAGGCCCAATTTGGGTTCTGGTTGTTGTCAAATCGATTCATTTTATATCAAAGGATATCGTCGATGATGCGTTTTTGGCATTTAACCATTCTTAATCCTATTTGTTATATATTTTATTGTCAAAATCATGTAAAAAATTCATGTTATTTGTAATATACTTCAAAAAGTTTAAATCTTTTAACACAATTGATAATAAAAATAACATTTTTACATAAAAATAGTCTTTTACTTAATTAATAAAGCCAGTGTGATTGATTCGCAATCCTTTCTAATGATTAATGGTTATTATAATTTGAATTAGAAATTTTATTTGTAAAAATTCCATTTCTTTTTTATTAAAACTATTTATTCTTTTATTATTACATTTTATAAAATGAAAAAAATCAAATTGTCTTTTACATACATACGAGTTGTATTAAATGATTTTTCGAATTTTAACTTTGAAATTAACTACACGTAATAGTAGTAATACGTGATAATATTAATAATGTGCTTGAACTGTTTTTAGTAGCTGAATTGAAAACATATACATGTTTGTCAATATTGACACGTAGAACTACTTTTAGGTGCAAATGTTTGTAAATTTTAATTTGGATTTTTAAAAGTGATATAAAATAGTAAACTATAGATAGAGTAAAATAAGAATGCTAAAATTCTTTATTGTTGAAGCATTAGAATAATGATGAATCTTTAAACAATGCAATTTACAAAATATTTCCTTCTGCTTTTCCTTTTTGTAAAGTAATAGGATAAGTTTCTATTTCCACAGTCCATTTTGTTTTACGATTTTCTGGAGTTTTAGGTCTTTGGTTTAGACATTCAACAATGTGGTTGGGCTTGTTTTATATATGGCCTAAATGGCCAGCAATTTGATTCAATTTTTTGGCTTCCACTAATTACACTGTCAGTGGAAGAGATGGTCTTAATGAAGCACATAGATAAAAAAATGGATGATATGCTTTTTTTTTTTAATTAGTTATTTTTGTTATTTTTATAAATTAATTAAAATGTTGAAACATTTAACGGTGGCTTTAATTATTTAAACATAAGTTTATCTATTATTATATAAATCAAAGGGACGGAAGGGATGTATGTAATTCATAGTCAGCTTAAGCTTTTTTTTTATTGGTCCGACATCTTTTTTTTCTTTAATTATAAATAGAACTTCCATCTGTTTAAAAAAAATTTTGGCAACGCTTAACTCAACGTTAACATTAACGGAAATGATGACGTTGTCATTGATGTTAACGTTAACGTTAACTTTAAACTACTCTATATACACAACGCAATCATTTTCATAACACTTGAAATTTCCTTTTTTAAACACTAAATTAAATTCAACATATTCTTTCGTTAAAAAACTTACACGAATCTTATCAATTTTTCAAATTGCAATTTTTTTTATACCTTATACTGGTCGCGTTTACTTCGTCGACACCCATTTCGTCGAATGTTCATTTCGTCGAATGTTCGTTTCGTCGAATGTTCGTTTTGTCGAAAGTTCATTTCATCGAAAGTTCATTTCATCGAAAGTTCATTTCATCGAAAATTATTTCATCCTCGAGCTAGAGACCGAACGAGTTAGATGTGAGAAGTGTGGGAAGTTAGTTAAGGAATTTGGTGAGGAAAGCGGAGTGTGTGGGAAGTGTGAGGAGAAATTTGTTTAATGAAGTTTTTTTTTGTGACGAAATAATTTTCGACGAAATGAATATTCGACGAAATGAACTTTCGATGAAACAAACTTTCGACGAAACAAACTTTCGACGAAACAAACTTTCGACGAAACAAACTTTCGACGAAATGGGTGTCGACGAAATGAATCAGACCCAAAATTTTGTTGATACACGTGATTATGCTTATGTATGTCTATGTCCATATATTTAGTTCAGAATTTTTTTATGCTTATAGCCGAGGAAATTCTATGCTTTTAGACAGATTCTACTGTATGTGTATTTTTAACTGCTTTACAAGCAGTGTAGAAAATTGAGTGCGGATTTGTACAGAAAATTTGTGCAACAAAGTTAAAAAATTATTATTTGATGTTCTTGGTATGATTCTATTTTTATTGATAAACCATAATTATAATAGGAAAAATAAATAGTATTAAATTTACACTTCAAATATCTTTGTTTGAAATCATATTTAAAGTAATAGTATGAAAAACAATAGGAAAAAATAAATAGCATTAAAATATCTTCATTTGAAATCCTATTTAAATGTAATAGTATGAACAATAATAATAATAAATTAATAACTACTCAAAAAAACCAAATCTGGGTTCCATGCTAACAAAAAGATAGTTCGGGCTCAAGAACCCCAAAATGAGTTGTTTGCATCACTATATACTTTGAAATAAGGATTATAATTTGGTATAATTTTTATTGACTGTAGTTGCTGAAAATTCTGATCTCAATTGTTGAATTCTTGATATATTTGTAAATTGATTTTGTGTATCAAAATTGGTTCTATATAGAACCAAATCTTTAAAGAATTAATAAAGATACAAAAAGAAAAATGTAAAAAGAAAAGTCATCAATTTCATAAAAGTCTATATTTTCAGGATCGTTTACAAAATATCATTATGCTATATCTACATTGTTGTAAGCCGAGCTAATAAAGAAATTCGAGAATCCAAGTTGTCATAATTGGCTGTAAAAAATAGATTCTTAATTGCTGACATTTTCAACAACATTTTATTTATATTTTAGTTGTAGATTTTTGTGGCCATGTAGCATTTTCGAGAAAAAGTACCTTCACCCAAAAATTAAAATTAACATTAATATTAATACTAATACTACTACTACTAATATTAAACAATTTGGTCCCTGAAATCTTGACTTTATACCTACTGCGTAGCCGAAATTACTAATAGGAATTCCCTTATTTATTATATAGTCCGATTATTACTATGTATGATATTTGATTTTAAATCATGTGATCTTTATTTATGTAATACATTTTTTTTTTCAAAAAAATTATTTAAACACAAATTCCTTTTGGTAAAGTCCTTTATAATATTTATAATAATAAACCTTTTAATTAACTACCATGGACACCATTCTTTTCGTAGCCTTTAATCAAGTAATGCGAGGACAACAACCTGTCAGTAGTCTCAATGCTGTCTTCGAAAGTTTAACTACCAATGAAATTGATACCAATACGATGAAAGAAACGATGCTGGATGTCATATGGTACCTTGATTCAACAATCTTGGATGGTCAACATAACACTAGCGACTTGAGAAATAAACTTGCAACTATTGCTAGATATATTTTTGTAAGCAATTTTTATTTTAGTATTTTTATTTTTTTCCGAGTAATTAATATTAAGCAATATACAAATAACATTATTTAGGATAATCACATAGTTGATGCAAAGTTAATAAAAACTCGACTTGATGTTTCACTATTACACAATGCTGGTCTTGTGGATGAATTTAATTTTAACAAAAGAGCAGTTCGGATCAACACTGCAATACTGTAAGAAGAATCAATTAAATTAGATACATATCTATATATATATATAAGAAGAATACAATAATAATATTTGAATTGATCACAGATACAAACAACAAAAGTACAACTTAATGCGTGAAGAATCCGAAGGGTACTCAAAAATTGTTTGTGAACTGGCATCAAATTGCGATCCCACCTTTACTGATGAAAATGAGAACGATCGGAATCAACGTGCAAACAGTTTACTTGAATTAATAAAGACATTAATAGGATATTTTCATCTTGATCCTAACAGAGTATTAGACTTAATACTTGATGTCTTTGTTGTGCATGTGAGATCTCACCATGCTTTTTTACTTCGTCTCTTGGAATTATCACCTTGGCAACCTTCTTCTTCAACCGTTATTGCAACAGCATCATCTACCATTCATGAAATTAAAGAAGATCATTGGGAAAATGATCCCGGAAATTCTTCTTGTGCTCATTTACTTGGATCAAAATTCAAATATTATCAAGTAAGCTTCAGTCAGTTAGTCGGTTGGTTGGTTGGTTGATTGATTGATTGATTGATCGATTGATTGATTGATTGATTGATTGATTCGATTATTCTTCTGATACTATCGTCATCATCATCAATAATAATAATGATAATGATATATCAATATTGATAATGATAATAACAATACAATCTACACATTCTTTTTTTCATTTCACCACAACTTGCATCTTTTACTAATAATAATAATAATAATAACACAAAGGATGATGCTTTGCCTACAGCAACAATAACAACAACAACAGCAACAACAACAACTCCTACTGCAACTGTTGCTGTTGTTGTTGCTGCTACTACTACTACCACTGCAACCGCAACTGCAAATATACCCACTATCACCGACTCTACAGCCACAACTGCTGGGGATAATGCTTTTCCTTCTTTATATGAAGTTTCAGCTTTGCTAATTCAAAAAGGTTTCGTGCAAATCATTGATCTTTATCCTCACATAATAACGAAGGATACAAGAGTGCATGAAATAGGATTAGCAAATGCTCTTCTTAGCATTGGTGATTTCTACCACGCTAAATTCATACTTTACCGATTGGACACAATACCTCAATCACTTGCAAAGCCATTGTGTGACATTATACATGTTTCTATTGTTGACATACACAACTTGATTGCCCCTCCTATACCAAAACAGAAACCTCCTCCCTCCTTATCTGGCTCATGGTATGGTCTTTGGCATGAAGGTATTCCAAAATTCCAATCAAAAGATGATATTATTACCGAAAGTGGTCGCGAACTCTTAAACCTTGCTTCACCTTGGCTAGGAAGTAATATTATTTTATTTTGTAAACTCTTAAGAATAGCTCATGCACATCTAAAAGAGGTAATTTTTTTCTATCAACAAGTTTATAGTTCAGTCAATATATATATAATTTATTCATTTATTTTTAATTTTGTTGTGTTTTTGAAAAATTAATATGCAGTCAGAGAAAGGGCCTAATAGAAAGATTGTTGAAAATGCATGGCATGATATCATACGATCAGTTTTTCTACCCAGTGTTTCATTACTAGTCACAAATCCTGGTGTAGTTAACGATTTTTGGCAACTGTTGAATTATTATCCATACGAAATAAGATATGGTCTTTATGGTGAATGGAAAGATATGAAAACGATCAAAGATAAGAAACCTCATCCTGCTCTAACCACTAGAGTCAATGAAGTGAAACGTAAGACAAAGGGTATCATGAAAAGGATAACTGAAGAAAATTATCGTCAAAAAGGTCGTGAAATTGCTAAGGTGTCTCATTCTAATCCAATAGTTGTATTTGACATAGTATTATATCAAGTTCAAGCCTATCCAAATCTAATTAACCCAATGGTGGAGGCCTGTAAATATTTGACTCCATTGAGTTATGATGTCTTGACTTATTTAATTCTTTCGATTTTGGCTGATAAAAAAGACAAAATCAAAGATGATAAATTAAATGTTAGCGATTGGCTACAACATTTGGCTCAATTTTGTGGTAACATTTGTCGTAAATACAACACAATGGATCTAAAAAGTATACTACAATATGTAGTAAATCAACTTAAATGCAACGAACCAAAAGATTTAATAGTTCTCTCGCAGCTAATATCTACAATGTCTGGAATTGAACCCACTGGGATACCATCGGATATGGAAGTCACATTGATGGGTGGTGGTGAGCATCTCAGAAACATAAAGTTGTATAATCGTACCATTGAAAAAAATACTCGTCGTAGTTCTGCAAGACTTGCCAAGACACTGATTGAGGCTGGCTTGACAGTGTCGATAGCTGTACTGATCGCTCAACTAACTCAAGTGGTGCCATACAGTTCAGTACTCACCGATTTTACAGAGACTTCAGCTGATCTTAAAATAGCTGGTCATCAGATTGATAATGTGAGTTCTTCGCCCCTTACCTCTATATATTTGCTTAGGAAGCGATAATTATATTAATTTATTATTGTTTTTCTTTTTCTTTTTCTTTACTATCAATAATAGTATCGAAGCATATACATTCAGTATATTGATTTTCTTGCACTGAATATTAGAAGCGAAGAGTACAGTAATATGATACCATTGATAGTTGAATTATGTACCGAATATGATTTACAACCTGAGTTTGCCTTCAGCCTACTACGACCAAAATTAAAATATATGATCAAGGTAAAAAACAATTTTTTGGTAAAGTTTCATTTAAATATTTTATTTTAATCAACAATGTTGTTTCTATAAAAAAAAAAAATAGCAACAAAGTTCATTGGATCAAATGGAAGTTGATGGAGAACCAAATGTATGGGAGCCTTCATTAAGAGATTTTATTAAAGAAGTAAAAGAAATACATCCACCACATGTGTGGACTGGCATAAGGTATTTAATTAGTCAATCATTGTTTATTATTAATTGGTATTATACTATGTTTTTTTTAATTTACTTTTCATTTTTTTTGAAAATGATTATTCGTCGTCATCATCATAATGATTTTTATTATTATCGTTTTTATAGTCCAACTTTTTACACAACTTTCTGGCAACTTTCTTTATATGACATAGAATGTCCCAATGATGAATATATAAAATCAAAAAATGAAACAATTGCATTATCTAGTGATAAAAGACCCAGAGATAAAGATAAACTTTTATCAATGGCTAAATCATTAGATTCTGAACGTAAAGCACATTTAGATCATGTTGAAAATATAAGGCAACGTTTAAAGAGAGAAAAAGATCATTGGTTTTCCGGTCAATGTAAGAATACATTAAACTTGATAACTTATAATATGATGATTAATTAACTTATTTGTTTGTTATAGTTTCTAATCGGCAAGATATCATTACACAATTCTGGCAATATTGTCTATTCCCACGTTTACTGTTATCAGCTGACAATGCAGTTTTTTGTGCCAAGTTTATAGAGATAATGCATGAGATTGGAACTGCCAATTTTTCAACACTTACGCTTTATGATAGAGTATGTTTATATTTTTACTGTCGTTATTTTTTTTTTTTTTTAAAAAAAACTTTGTTTCTTGAGTTAAGTTATCAAAACTTTATTTATTTCCCATTGAAATAGATATTTGCAGATCAAGTACAACCAATAACTTTCACTTGTACTGAGACAGAAGCTCGTAATTATGGTCGATTCCTACACACAGTTTTGAAATATTTGAGTTCTTTACATAGAGATCAAAAATCATATGAGGCTTATGGTAAAGGAAAAGGTATTCCTGGTTTCCAAATGAAATGGAGTTCACAGGTTCGACAACCAACTAATATTGCAGAAACCGATTTACTTCAATACGAAGATTTTAGACGTGTTTTTTATAAATGGCATTCAAAACTTTTGAAGGTTGTTATTTTAATTCATCAGTCAATCATTAATTTCTTGCATATTGTAAACTGACTAATACATAAAAACATTCATTCATTTATTAATTTAAATAAAATTAATTAGGCTTTTGAACAATGTCTAACTTCTGAAGAATATATATCACTGCGGAATGCAATGATTGTTCTGAATCATATTGTTGCGCATTTTCCAGCTGTTGAAACTATTGGCAAAAAAATTACTAGTTTTATTGAAAATATAGTTCAACATGAAGAAAGTCCTGATAATTATAATCAAAGACCAGACATCAAAATACTGGCAAAAAGGTATTAAAGAAATAAATATTATGAATTTATTTTTTTATTGTTTCTACTGCCACGATTTTATTGATTTATTATATAATAGTTATTTAGGAAAGTTGTCTGTGGCAAAAAAATCATGGTTGCCAATGAAACAGTTTCAAACGCCAAAACAAACTGCTAATAACATTACAAATGGCAACATTAACAACGTAAATGCCAACGCCAACAGTTCTACATCTACATCTGCAACCGCAACATCTCCTAATCATAATGCCAATAGTAGTAGTAGTAATGCAAATGTTTCAACTCCAAAATCAATTCATGGAGATCATCCACATAGCTCATTGAATTCTCCAAATGCTGGGACATCAAGATCAAGTCCTCTAATTATGCAACACACTTCACATTCATCACCTCGTGCACCTAACAGTAGAACTGATAGTCCTCGTCGACAAATTCATCCTTTACCTGATAAACCAAAGCAAAAGGAACGTGAAAAGGAACGTGAAAGAGATCGTGCTGGTGAGAGGGAACGTAGTAGTGGTGGTGGTAGTGTTGGTGGTGGTAGTGATAAAGATCGTGATAGAGATCGTGCCAGAGAGAAAAAAGGTGAAACATATAGTGACCGAGAAAAAGATAAAGATATAGTTAAAAAGATTGATCATCATGATCGGGAAAAGGACTTAAAAAAGAATAACAATGATTACCATGAACGTGAGAAAGAAAGGACAAGGGAAATTAAAGATAGGATGAAACAACCAGAGATGTCACGAAGTGAAGCCGAAAAAAAAGATAGAGAATTACAGAAATCTGGTAAAGATCGTACGATGATTGATGATCGTAGCAAAAGGATGGAGCATCATCAACAACGTATTAAAGATCGTGATATAAGAGATCATGATAGAATGAAGGATAAAGAAAGGGATAATAAACGTGAGGATAATAGACGCGAAGATAAAAAAGATAAAAATAAGGAGAGAGAGCGTAGTAGAGATCCAGAAAGAGAGAGGGAACGTATTCGGGAGGAAGATAGGGAAAGGGAGAGGATACAGGATAGAGAACGTCATCGTGCTGATCAAGGTCGAAGACGTCATCTTGATGAACCCAATCCAAGACGTGGTAGAAAGATATATGTATGTCTTCTAATTTTTTTATTTTTGAGTTTAAATGTAATTAATTTAATTGTTGTATTTTTATTTCTTCTAAAGTCCGATTATGACATGCAAGAGCGTATCCCTAGAGACGAAAGAGAAATGATGGCAATGAGTATGAGAGATGATCGAGATCGTAAAAGAGTTTTTGAACGTGACGATGACCCAGATATCATGTTAAAAAAGCCTAAAATTAGTATGTACGGAATTATTTTTTTTACATTTATTCATCTAATTGATTTATGAATTTTTATTATCATATTAATTAACTAATCAATAATATAGATCAAGAAGGTATGCCACCTCCTAATATGATGGGACCTAGTAGGGGACCAGTAAAATTAAATCGTACTGTGGAACATATTAATGAATTATTACAACCACTTCCAGGTCCAGCTCCAAGCGTAGGGAATATTGGTAAAAGAGGCGGCGGCGAAAAATACAGAAGAAGAAATAATAACAACTATAATTAAAACATTAATAACATTTTTGTAGATTTGTAATCAAAATTATTAATTATAAAATATAAAAATAAAAATTATTTATTTAGACATAGTTATATATTATTTATTATTATGGACGGGCGGCTCTTGAATTTAACACTGGGTAATTACTATCATTGGCTATTGAGAACCACCAATTAAACCTAGTTTAAGTCACGTGATAGACTTAAAATGCCTTGCGGCTATCCATGCATATTCTATTACCATTACCATTATTATTACTGGCTTTTCTTAGTTGAAGATGTTATTGTCAAAAAAGTACCATATCAATTATCATAAAAGGATTTACCATGATGCCATGATACCATGTTTCTGTACAAAACTTCACTGACAGGAGAGGCTGTCCTGTATAAGGAAGGATTTTCAATATTTTTTATATGGTTGGCTCAGTCTAAAGACCTCCCATTGCTGCGCCATGCGGCCAAATTTCAAAATAGCAATAGTAATAGTAATTCGTTTAAAAATGTAATAAAATTTTTCAAAAAAATAGCACTTCGCCAAATTTAGATACGATAGTTAAAAAGCTAGTCTAAATTTGGTAATATTCTTCCTAAATTTAGAAATAATCACAGTGGACAAATTCCTCGCGAGCATAGTAAAGTACATGTTTTAAAAAAGAATAGAACACTACAACAAATAATTTTTTTGATAAAATCTCTCTTTTACATTAAAACTAATGACATATTCTATCAACTAATAGAGCTATTTTTTTAAAGATAGGACAGAAAGTGACTTCTATACTTATAAAATTTGCCCAAAATTTAGGAGGTCTTTAGACCGAGCCAACTATACAGTTAAACTACTTTTTTACAAGGGTATTACATAGCCCATTCTTGCAATAAATCATTTATAAATAATTACACAAATTTGAGGCTTTACACTGTGTTGTTATCATATCTTTTGAATCCCTTTGAATACCACAACTTTCATAATACAATTTACTCAAAGAAAAAATGTCTGTAAATAAACATTGCACAGAATGTAAAACCATCAAGTCAGCTAAATTTCATCAATTGAAAAGCAATAAATCGAAAGAAATTGAGAACAACAACTTATTGAAGGTAATGTGGACAGAAGGTGTTGTTTTATGTAACATTTGTTAAATTAATTTTGTAGAAAATCCTTTAAAAAGAGGTCCTAGGAGAGTAAAAACCACAGATGAGGAATAGGAAGGGGAAGAAGAAAAGGAAGAAGCAAGTGAAATGATTGATTTCACTAGAGCCATCAAAATCTTTTATGAAAAAGAATGTTCAAATAAAGAAAGTCCTACATATATATGATTTTGATGAAATATGAAGATTGCTCTGAGAAATTGAACCAAGCTTGAAGGGATTTTTTGACCAACTCTATTTAAGCAGCTCAGCCATTTGAACATAATGAACAAACAATGGACTGTATGAAGATTAATGGTGTTCATATGTTATCTTCTTACTTCATCAAATAATACAAAGATTAACTCTTTTAAGTTTGACCTTTTGGTAGGTACAATTAATGAAGGCCTAAATACAATGGCGAACCTTGGAGCAACCACAAAATCAAGAGCATTAGATTGTAAAAAGAAGCAAGTTGCAGATGTACATGAGAAATATGTAGAGTATGCACTTACAAAATATTCAAAAAGTGCATTCATGTTGAATGTTGGTGATTATCATCATGCAAAAACATTGAATTTTTATATTTAACCAATCTTTGAGCAATTTATTTCCTTTAGTTCTTGATGTTTATGCAGTTCACCATCAAGAAGGTAACTGGCTGGCTTATGAGGAAGCTTGTATGAATTGCTGGAATAATCTTTTTCTTTGGTTTTATTGAAGAAATTATAAGTGTATGCCTTTAATTTTTTTTCTGATGTCTTTTATTGGATTAGGGTTCCTAACTGTAATTACAACTCCATATTCGAATATTATTTTGGATACTTGTAATTATTTTGAATGCTCATTATTTCAGATATTTGTATAAATCCTTACAAACTATTATTAATTTTTTCTTGTTCTTTAATTGATAAAGTTTCTTTTTGGACATCATCAATTTGATTGTTCATTTCAAGCTATATCAAAAAATTATTAATAAATTATATCATCATACAAATCAAAAAATTACCATCAGGTGTAAGAATATTATGACATTTTAAAAATGATTTATACAATTGAAGTATTAGGAAAATTTTTCTGTAAATTCCATTTGGCTTTTAATTTTTAAATGAAAATGTTTTCTGAATTAATATTTTAATTGTTGTAAAAATATGTTATCTTTAATATTTGAAAAATGTTTGTTATATAGTAGGATAAGTTTACAAATAAGTTAATACTGTACTATTTGTTATCAATTGATAATCATTCATTTGCAATATTATCATAACAAATGTTTGAAATGATTATATCCAAAATAAATATAAGTATCCAAAATAATTACAAGTATCCAAAATTGATTTTTGGTTAGGAACACTGTATTGGATGGAGACAAATCATTCAATAATTGATATGGTTACTAATTATCCCGCCTCTTTAAGTGATAGTCCTGTAGAAATCATTCACAGCATTGTACAGTCAAGTTTTTCACTGCACAACAACTGCAAAAGGAAGCACATTTTATTTTTCAGCATCAATAGTTTTTGACAACATTTCATAGATTTTGTGAAATATCTAAAGCCCCTCATCAGCTGGCTTAGAAATATCCATATACACCAAAACAATTGCATATGCTTTCTTGGAAGTGTACTATTGTTTTTAGATGTGTTTACAAAGATATATCAAGCAGAAAATCAGTATTCTTTGATTACTAAAACTTTATCTAATGGCATTAACACATACAATTGCCTTCTTTAGTTATGAAATAACTGATTGTCATCTTCCAAGAGGCTTTGTTACTTCTAGGAAACTATCTACAAACATTACATATATTGTGATTACACTAACTATCCTAATTTGAATAATTGTAGTGTCCTTTAATGTGGACTAAGGTTTCTGATCAAAATTACTTTTCTTAGTAGTTGAAATTGCCAAAACACTTTGAGCAAAAATTAATTTTTATAGGCCAAAATCAGGCGAAATTATTTTAAATTAATTAAATTAAAATAGGTTGATTTATTTTTTTCATGTTCACTCTTATAAAAAATTATTGAGAAGCCCAAACTATTGTCAAAGCTACTTTTTTTCAAAATAGTTTAGACTGGAAACCTTAATGTGGACATGATTATCACAATCATTGTCTACAAAAATGCCAATCTAAATGTTTGATATCTTGGACTATCTTCAAGTCAAAATCAAAAAAAAATGTTATTGCACTAAAAAAAAGTATGATGAAAAGATTAAATGAAAATGAATTTATTGAAATAATGAAAATACAGTTAATGATCCAGTTAATGTTGAATCTGCAACAGATGATGCAACAACTATGGAAATTTTATTAAAATATGCAAACAAAACATTTTTTTTTTGAGTTGTAAAATTTTGTTTTTATTAAATTTGTTTTTTTCATATATCATTCATGTTTTGTCTTAATTATATATCTTAAATTGGTCACATTTACAATCATTTCATCAACATTCATTATATCAAGGTTATTTTGATCATATTGAGAGATATGATCAAGAGAAGAGTTAGAAAGAGAGTTATTCTTCAACCAAGTTGAAAACCAACCCTTTAAATACATTTTTGAGTAGTATAATTTAATTTATTGGACTATTTCAAAGGTTTGCCACATTGTTGCTTCCAACTTCTTAAATTTGAACTATTTGTTAATGAAACAATTGTTGATGAAATGATTTTGACAAAATGAATCAAACCAACATATTTATTTTTACATTATCAAATTCATGATTTTGATTGGTCAATCAACAATTGCATGGGTTAAAAATTCGTGTTACCAGAATGGTCTTTATTAACTGCTAATCCAAAATCTGCACATCCTACATATATAGAAAAATCTTTGTTCATCACACAAACTATGTTAACATTTTGGATATAATTGTTTTTTGAGATTAACTTTATTAATGTCATCCGGTAGCACAAAAAGAATAGTACAATTTTTTGACAATTAGCAATTTTGCCCCAAAATTTATTATAAAAATACAGATTAAGCCGAAATTGCCTCTCTTAATTGACACTAAATCCGAAATGCTGAAATAGTTTTTAATAGTTACCAAAATTATATCCAAAAGTATTTGAACACTTTAACTCAATAGCCGAAATTCTGGGTATTTTTTTATGTCTATTGGTATAAAGAATATTGTAATTCCGAAATTGCTTGCTAAAATTGCTATTTTCAAAAACCATTTTGGCTAACATCCTTGATGTAGATCTTTTCTCTCATTCATTCATGCATCAGCAATTAAATTTTTTTGGATAAATGTTTGCCAGAGAAATGAATTCCTTTGGTGCAGATTTTCCTTTAAAAATAAAGGATTAAATTTTTTCAGGACTTATGTTTTATCTATGGTGCAAACCTCCTAAATTTTGTACAACCTTTAAAAGTATATAACTCAAGAACTAGGCAATATTAATTGATGGATTAGGTCTCTAGCTTTAATGTAATTGAAAGATTTTTAGAAGAACTTCTTTTGGTATATGTATTTTACTATGTTCACAAGTAATTTGGTTTGCTAAATTTATAATATTCAACAAAAATTGTTCTAAATTTGGCCAAACCCAAATATTTTTAATTTTACATTAAATATAAAATGGGGATGTTGCAACAAAATCCAACAAAGTGAACATTGTGTCACAATATGAATATTTTTCTGATGCAGTTTAAAGAATGAAAAAAAAATAATATTATTAACACTGCTTAAGCAAAGACCACATTATAACAGAAATTATTTTTTATTTATTATTATATTTTTTTTGATTGAAAACAGTAGTATAAACATATTCTTTTTAAAATTTTAAAAATAATTATGAAGGCCTATTGATATTCAATTGTGGGGATGTCTCAGGTGCAAGGTATCTTCATTTGTTTTTAATTTTAATAATTTCATAGTCTTTTTTGTTGCTTTAATTTAATCTGCAAAGCATTAGATTAGTTGAATTGATCACCACAATATTAGAAAAATAATCACTACATACTTTCAAGTTCCTTTGAGCATACAATATATACCTTCAATCATACCAGAATCATCTTCTGTTAAAAGTAAAATGGCCTGATCAATCAACCCAATGAAATAAATTCCATCTTGCCATTTCATACCATATAAATTGATGTCAAAACCTTGTGTTAACAAAAATTATATAAGTTAGTGAATTCCATACAAAAGTCTATATTAAAAATTGTTTTTTGGTTGATGCTACTGGCAGGCCAAAAAGGACTTATTTCTCCACTAACTTCACCAAATAAAGCTTCCACTTGTATAGGAGTTTTTGTAAATTTACTAATCATATTCACTTTATGGCCCTAAGGAAAAGATTTTTATTATTATATCCTCTCCTCTTGTGTTGATACTGATTGTGACTAATTGTGGCATATGAAAATTGAATAGTGGCTAATTGCAGTTCCCATCTTTAATCTCTCGCCTATAAACAAAGTTGTGAAGGATATAAATTATTATTCTGCCTTTTTTTGTGTAAAAACAATATAGAGTAACTTACCATCAACCATGTACGAAGTTTTTATTAACAATACTTTTATATAAGGAAAATAGAAAAGTCATTTTTAGAACATTGTCAGAACAATTTTTTAGACAGTCCATGTTTGGTTTTCTATGCAATAATAAAAAAATAAAATTAGCTCTTCAAATAATATTTATATATATCAAGTTAACAAAACCTACAAGTATTGAGTATTTATACTGAGCTTTTTGTACTCATCACTTAATGTAATATTACAACCATTATTAAAGTATTCCTGTAGAGTTTCAGGAATTTTTTAGAGAATTCATTCACAGCAAACAATATCAAATGGTTATCAGGTATTTTTTCTATACAATGTTTCATGGATCAATCTAAAATGCCTCAGTACCCTGGTCTATAAAATATTATATAATATTTTATTTAAATAATCAGGAAGAATTCTTTAATTCTTAAATAAATAGATTATTAAAAATCAACATAACAAGCGTATTATAACATTAAATCTTGAATGTAGCAATTACCTTATTTAAGTGGTTATTTGATGATTTCATTTCTTCCTGAAGTTATTCATCATCAATTGAATCTAATATTTTTATTTGTTTTTCTTCAACTTCAAATACCATAATAATAAAGTCTCAAAAGATAGCACCCACTTTTTACAACTGTTTATAACTGTGTAACAAATGATTTTCAATTGTTTTAAGACTTTATGATATTTTGCTCTTCTTCTGATCTTGCATTTCATCTGAGAGATGTATTCTAGGGTCTTCATTTCATTTTCTATAAATGCTTCCTCAATAGGTCTTACATGCTTCTGATTAAATCCCTACAAAAAGATATGATAAGATCAATTTATTAGTGTCTTTCATTAAATACTTCCTACAAAGAAACAATACTTTTCATATCAGGGTAACATTAAGAGATGATGATAATTTTGAAATTTGTTAGTTGTTATGTAAATACAAATAAAGTCAAAAATTAAACAAACAAGTTTCTAAGAACTAGAGTGACAGCAACCACCATCCTTTTAAATAAATAATAACACTTGGAGGTTCTCTAGCAAAAGATAGCTTAAGTGCCCTCTGATCAAATTGAGATTTTTGCATAATATGTGTTTATGCCATAAGGATTATACTGGTGAAAAAATAAGCCAGTAAAAAAATGAGATACAAAGGCTTGAAATTTTTTAATTTATATACCAAAACACGTGTAACATATTTTACAGGGATTGTTACTCAAAAAAATTTATTATAATAATAACTTTTGCTATGGAACCTCCAAACAAATAATCCAATTTGCTAAAGAATTCTCTAAATTTCTCCAAATGATTATAACATTGACAATATTGGCTATTCAATAGAAAATACTTTGGAAATTTGAAGTTATGAACCTGATAATTACATTACAGCATGGAAAGATATTTATCTGATGAAACTAACTTACTTAGTTATGCTAATAAATTGAAAGAATTTGAAAGGAAAGATTTTCATTGGTTTAGTGTTTTAGATGGAACAGAAATAGAGCCAGAAAGTGTTGATCCAAATCAAATTAAAAATGACACAGTGTATCATTTATAAAGAAAGGCAAAAATTTGAAAATCAGATGCAATCAAAGCAAGAGCAAATGCAGGGAGCAAATTTCCTCCAAAGAAAATCAGCAGAGAAGCAAGCAGAACTAAATGAAGCAAATGTTTAGCTCATCAGGATATTGAAAATTTAAGAGAAGATGACTGTTATAAAAGACAATTAGATAGTGAGGGTGTCCAAAGAAAAGAAGAAATGAACTATTTGATAAGATGAGAAATTAATCAATGAAATGAAGAAAGTAAATGGCAACCAAATTGATAACAACTAACTAATAAAAAAAATCAATTACAAGTAAATCATGACAATTTACAAAATAATTATCAAATTTAGCTAGTGAAATAGAAGTTTATATTAGCAATTAAATGAAAAGAATAGAGAAATAAGTGATTTGAAAGGTGAGATGACAAATTTCAAGCAAGAAATTGAGAACTTGAACAAATCATTGAATAATCCTGAATAAGAAGAAATCAAGTGAAGAACAAAAAAACAGGAAATTCAAGATGAAACTAACCAATTAGAATATGAGTCAAGTGGATCTGCAACGAAACTAAAGCAATACAAATATAAACATGACCAATTTATTAAGAGGTCAAAAAGGAAAAGACAATGCAAAAATTGATCATGAAAATAAATAGATACTAAACTTCAGGAAGTAAGACAGTAATATGATAAAACAAACTGTATGAAAACCAAAAACAGGGAAAGAAGGTGTTAAAGGAAAGAAATGAAGATGCAAGCTGATTATAGATAACAATAATCAACAATATTGGAAGTTAAAGAATAAAAATAAAAGATTTAGAGAATGACTATGATAATGAACAAAAAGCAAAAGAGAAAAGAAGCAATAATCAACAATTAAAGAGTAATATTGTTCAATTAAAACAGTAACTAAAATATTTAAATAATAAAAACTTATTCAGGAACTTCCAAATAAAGTTAAAGAATAGAGAAGCAAAAACCCGAATTAATTAAACAGGAGAAAATTATTCAAGAATTAACTGAGCAGAAAAACAGATGGCAGTCCAAGCTCAAAAACAGAAAACAAGCCAAAACAAGCCAAATAAAGCTTAAACAATTGAGAAAGTAAAGGCGAGAGAAGCAATCCAAAACATGTACAATGGTGATGATTGAATTTTGAGCCTTGAAATCCATATATGATTCAATCATGTGATACCATTGTGTGTATTGTGACATAATGTTCACTTATAACTTAACTATTACTATGCCATATAATAGTTGTCACATACTTATATGGGAAATAGCCGTGGAACATTTATGTGATAATTAGAAAAAAAAGAAATTTAATATTATAAATAATAATAATAATAAAAATAAGAAAAAACAATTATTTTTTTACTTGTCTTGTTTCCTTTATCACTTGTAAAACTTACTTTTTTTTTTTAAAAAAAGAAAAATTCCAAATACCTAACTACTAATTTACTACTTAACTACCGCAATTACTACTGCTACTGCTACTTGAATTTAACAATATGGCATCTCCAACACCCAACAGACAAAATCCTCAAGCACCTAATAAGCTTTTTCAATTCAAGCTTGTTTTATTGGGTATAGTGGTTCAGTTTATTTCTGGCACGATCTTATTTTAATAATTCTCCCAATTAATGTCGTTGCTGTAATTGTTGCAATTACAACGCAATTGAATGAATTACCATTCCACAATTACAATAATTGCAATAATTATAACATGCTATTAAATATAATAATTTGTACTTTTTTAATATATAGGAGAATCAGCGGTTGGTAAATCAAGGTTTGTGTGATTTTGGTGTGTATTAATTAAGAAATTGACGATAGTAATATCTAATCAAAATATTTGTAGTTTGGTGATGCGATTTGTTAAAGACCAATTTGAAGATTATAAAGAAAGTACAATTGGAGGTAAAATATATTGTTTATTTTTTTAATGAAAATTTTCATACAGTTAATAATAATTTTTTTTTTAATTAGCGGCATTCCTTACGCAAACAATTAATATTGATGATAAGACGACAGTTAAATTCGAAATTTGGTAAGAATTCAATGATCAATGGTGGATTCTTTAACATTTTTTATTGCTTTATTGATTAATGTTAATTATTTATTTAAAATTCATTTAAATCTTGCCCTTTCTTTTTCATTCTTTTCTTTTTTAAAAAAATCACATAAACATAAGGGACACAGCAGGCCAAGAACGTTACAAGGTGAAAATAAAATAAGAAATTAAATCATATTAAAATAATTATTAAATAATAATAGTATTAATTAATTAATTTCGGTGTGTGCGTGAAAACAAAAAATGAGTAGTACATTGTCTGACTGAAAGAGTTCTTTATTATATTATTATTATGATTCTCTCTATCTCTATCCAATCCGATCCAATCCACAATCAATCAGAGTTTGGCTCCAATGTATTATAGAAATGCAAATTGTGCTGTAGTAGTATATGATATATCTCAAGCAGTATGTATTTTAAAAGTATTATTTTATATGTATATTGTTTATTTATGTATCCATTACTAATTAATTAAACCAATTAATTGGGCAGTCTTCTCTCGAGAAAGCTAAAGCATGGGTAAAAGAATTACAGAGACAAGCCGATCCAAATATTATTATTGCACTTGCAGGAAATAAATGTGATTTGAGCTCACGTAGAGCAATTGAAACTGAAGTATATTATTTAATTTTTTTAATGATATTATTATAATGGCAATTATATTACATAAACTACAACAAATATATAATAACTGTTTACATATCACAGGAAGCTAAAGCTTATGCAGATAGTGCAGGACTTTTGTTTTTTGAAACTTCAGCTAAAACATCTCACAATGTTCGTGAATTATTCACATCAATAGGTAAGTAATCATTAAAATTATTATCATAATTACAATTAATGTTATAATAATTATAATTACAAACCAAAAATGATTTTTATTTATCTCCCAAATCGACTTTACAGCAAAGAGATTACCTCTTGATCAATTAGCTGCTAATTCACGTGGAAGATCCGGATTACATCCTAGAGGCGGAGTTGATTTATCACGTCCGCCACCACCAAATACTGCTTGTAATTGTTAATCATGAACTATATAAATAAATATAAATAAATAAACGTAAATAAATAAACCTAAATAAATGAAATATAAACATACAAGTTGTTACTGATACTATTATTTTATAAAGTAGAAGAAATTTATTATTACTTTTTTTTTTTTAAAAATATATATGAACAACAACATTATTATTATTACTATTTACTTTAATTGATTCGTCACATACAAATAAATAAAAGTTGTCATATATTTTTATTATTAATGTTATTAGGATTGGTTGGTTGATTTGTTTGTCGGGAAATTATATAACGTCGTTTTATTTAATGTTTTTTTACTTTTGAGCAGATCAATATTTACCAAGTGTTAATATTATAATAACCAAAAAAATATTCTTCCGTCTCATACTATATTGTTTAATCAATATCCAAATTTTTCATTCAAAAAAGTTTTTCCATCACCTAAAACAAATGTAAAAATATTAAATATAAACCAATCAATATATTGACGGGCGTGGGCGAGCGAATAGATATAACACACATAAATATAAATAATAGATGCCTAATTGATCATTAGGTGGTTCCCAAGTAGTCGCATCTTCCAATTCAAGTTCATTATTATCTTCATAAATTTTTAATTGTTCTTGATGCTGTTCTAATGTCATTGGAACATTCGCTTTAAATTTAATTTTTTTAGTTTTTTTATTGTTCGTTGAAGTTTCTTCTGCTGTTGCTAATTCTGTTGCATTATTTTCTATTGGCACATCATCCTCATTATTTGAAACTTGTATCACTGATGATTTATCTTGATTTTCTAAAGGATTTTCATTTATCTTTTCTTCTTTTTCTTTTTCAATAATATTTTTAGTATCATTTAAATTATTTGTTGTTTTTATATCAAACGGTCGTGTAATTTCAATTAATTTAGCAAGCTTTTGTTCTTGCTACAGTATAATGTAAATGTAACGTTAACATAAACATACATAAAGTACTTTTACGCAATTAATTAATAAATATACCAATTGGCTGGCCCATTAATTAAAATACCTTTAATAAACCATTTAATGAATTTTCCAATTCAGTTTTTGATTCAATTTCAAGATCATCATTAATTGAATTCATATATGAATCTAAATCATCATCAACACCATTATCATTTCCATCTGTTTTTACTTTTTTAGAAGCTAAAGAAATTTTATCTTGTAATTCTTTAATTTTCAATGTAATCTCTTCATATTGTTCTGTCAATGACTCAAATGTCTCGACTTTTTTAGGTGGTTGTGGTTGTTTTAATTTTTTTGCTTTGCTTCTTTCAGCTAAAAAAATTTAAGGTTGTGAAGAATCAATAAGGTTGTTTTTGTGATAAAAATAATTGAATAAATTTTCTAATTACCTTGATCAGTTCTATCATAAAAACTATCAATATCATCATCATTACCATCATCTAATAATCGTTTAAGTCTTTGTTTTCTCAACGCTAATTAATTAATTATAATTTCGAGTATGTATGAATTATGAGAAAAATAAATTAGTAAATATGGCTACAGAGATATAGGAATGTGAATTGGGGTCTAGGAGAGGCATAATTAGCACGAGCATGCATATTTATTTATGTACCTGCTTCATCTTGGCTACCACGTAAAATTCCCAACATATCTAATTTTTCACATGCATCAATTGCTGCTAGCCTTTCTGCTTCTCTAAAATAAATATATTATTGTAGATTTAATAGTTTATCCTCTATGATCATCATTATCATTATTGATTATTGACTATTAAAGTATATAATATAAACCTTTTTTTAATATTAGAACCTATTCCATAAACTGGTCCAAATTCATCTTCAACATCAGGTAGTCGTACGCTAAACAAATATATTTTATATGATTTATTTTCAACTATAATAACAAAAATTCATAAATAATTAAATAAATAAATAGCTAGGATACATACCGAACTGAGTAAGTTTTCGCATTATTTTTAGTTCCTTCTTGTTCACTTTCAAATTCTAAATCATAACCTCGATTCTAAAAAAAATTGATTACATATATATATATATATATATATTATCTACGTGATACATCTTTATAATAAATCCCTTTTTCACATAAATAATGTTACCTCTAACCAGTTTCTTATAGCTTTTTTTGGATCTTTGTAATAATACGCATTTTCATTCTTTATCCATGAATTTTTAGCGTTTGCCATTATAACTTCACCTTCATCTTCTGCATCTTCTCCAAAACCCCTATAATTAATTGATATATTCATAAGTAACTATTTCACATATCTTTACTAATAAACATAAAAATATTTTATTTACCAAGTAACTCCAGTATCTATAGTTTTAGGTAATAATGTTGATTTTGGTATAACTTTTAACCCAGGTTTTTGTTGTTGTTGTTGATTTTCAGGACCTAATAAAATACATGTTCGAGTACTTTGACCAAATTTTAATTGATCACCAACACAAAGTTTCGTGTATGATTTTGACGGTAACAATCGTTTATTCAAAATTGTACCATGTGCGCTTTCCAAATCATATATTAAAAGTTCTCCTGTATTGATTGATTTGAATTTTGTGAGAAGTTTGAGTAATGGAGAAAATCATCGTCATTGTTAGTATTTACCTTTGTTATTGAATTGAAGCACGGCATGGTATCTGGATATTGACTAAATAAAAATATATTATTGCTATTATAAAAGAATTAATTAATTTTATAAGAAATAATATGAAATTTACAAGATGTTCCATTGGAATATCACAAGTCGGTAATCGCCCTTTAATGCGTCAATCAAAGAATCAGTCATTAATTAATTTGATAAATCGATAAATCAAATAGTTTAAAGAAAAAACTATTTACCAATTGCAAGAAATTCTTTTGATTTTGGAAAATCGATAATTTCTAAACTTATTCCATTCTTAATTACTTCAAATGAATAATCATCTTTTGGCAATCCGCTCCAATCTGGTTTTGTATATTGTAATGGTGGCGGTGGTTGCTGTTGCTGTAATATTAGTGGTTTCTGTTGTGGTTTTTCTGGTGGTGATGGTAATTTAGATGCTTTCAAATAATTAAATTGTTATAAAATATTAATTTAGCATATCTATAAACTTATCACGTTTAAATTATAATAGGATAATGTATAAATACATATTATGGGTGTGGTACTAGTACTAGTTGTGGTGATGTTAGAATTCTCCAACTTGTCGTTATCATCATTGTTGCTATTTTGTTTTGCAAGATTTTCTTCAAATTGTTTAGAATCTTGCGAAATCTGTTCTTGCTGTTGTTCATTTTCTGAACTCATTTTGCCTTATAATAAATAATAAGGATCGGCAGATTTTACTAATTGAGACGACTTTTGTATCCAATTAAAGCCTTTCCATACTTTTGAGCTAATATTGTAAATAATTAGGTGCTTGGTTTAGGAACTTACTTTAATTCTCATTTACTGCTTCTTCCTTATACCTAGAAAGCTCCAGCGAATCTGTAAGTATATTTGATGAAGTTCAAAGACTTTTATAAAGTTCCTTTTTATTTACTTGTGACCGATCCTATTTAGTCTTTATATATTTATTAGTCGATTGCAAACTCGCATTGGTTTGTTTACAAATCAATCTAAGCTGGTTGTATATAAATTTTTTTTTGTCTGCTCATATAATTTTATAAAAATAAAGTAATATAATAATTTACAAAATAACTTTCCGCCTGTCCCAATACAAAAAACTACCGAGTCGCAAATGATGATGATGATAATTTTTTCCAACAAATATATATATACTTTACGTTCTAAACTTTCTCCAACCAAACAATACCTCACTCAAAAAAAAAGAAAAGAAAAGAAAAGAAATAATGAAAAATAAAGATTCTCTTTGTTACATCAAAATTATTTTCGTTATTAAATTATTACATCGCTCCTCCCCAAAAAACGAAAGACAAGATAAGGACAAAAAATTGAAGTTGTGAGGATAAAGGTCATTATTATTAAGAAATTCATGACAAGGACGGAAAATGAAGTTAATTAGAAGTTGATTAATTAATCAGTAATTAATTAACCAGTAATTAATTGGCATTTCAGAGCCTTGTTTATGAGAATAGAGGTAGAAAATCAATAATTAAATTATTTCTTGTTCTGTAAAAAACATTTGTTTTGTTTTGCTTAATAAAACGCTTTTGTGGTTGGAAATTAAACAATAGGCTTTAATTATCCATTCGTCATCAGAACTCTAAAGTTTTGTTTAATTCAGATTTGGTTATTTGCTTTGGTAGAAAACGAGGTTGAATTTTTGGTTCAAGTTTTTGTTAAGTGTAAAGGTTTTGTTTGTGTTTTTGTAAAAGAGCTTGAGTCAATGTAAAGTGTTAAAGTGGTTACCAGTTAATGAAATATAAAGTACTGACATTTATTAACTAAGCCATTCGTTATCACATGTTGTATTGTGTTAAAGCATTAAGCGGTTTAAAGGAGTTCTGTAAAGCAGGAGAATTGTTTAAAATAACCTAATTAACGAGCATTGAATATAAAAGCTTTCGACGAGTGTAGCTCTCGAATTCGGCTATTAACGTGAACAATTGGTATTAACCAGAAAAGCCACCTACCTTGCAGTATGAAGGTTAGCTCTATCGTCAAAAGAATTTCTTTAAAACATTATTTATATGTTCTAAAGGTTCAACCGTACAGTTCCCTTTATTTCCAGTAATTCTGATTTAATACTTGCTAAAAATAATTAAGATGTTTATTTTGAAGAATAATTTCGTGTTTTCTTTGAAATAAACGAATAGTTAAATTCTTTCAAATATAATTTGTAAGTCATTTCCGATTTATCCCCAAGTTCCCGTGATCTGTTAGCCGAAATAGTTTTTGAAAAAATTAATTTCGGCAAGCAATTTTGGATTTACAATATCATTTATATCAACAGACAAAAAAACTACCCAGAATTTCGGTTATTGAGTTAAAGTGTTCAAATAATTTCGGATATAATTTTGACAAGTAATAAAGTTGATGAAAATCTATTTCGGCATTTCGGATTCATTTGTTAAGAGAGGGCAATTTTGGCTAACATGCTTAATCTATAATCACAACATGCTAGAAAAAAATCTAACCAGCTCAATTTGAATGGAGAAATATTCCACAGATTATTACATGATGACTTAAGTATATTGAAAATTATCAGAATACTCGGAAATTTCAGATTATACATGTACAGACGAGTTAAATATATTACCCTACCCGTTAGTTATAATATCACCAATTCCTATATTGCCAAACGGAGCTGATGTTTATTATAGTCTCCTTTTGCATAGCTGATATCTGGCACAAAATGATGATTTTTGATTTGAAAAATCAATGTCAGCAATCGCCACAAAATCCATCAAAATACACAATCTAACGCCTCAAGCTAATCTAGCGAGTATTCAGAGAATTGGTAAGAATCTTTCGGATGATAAGACGTATGCAGAACGAGGGATCAAGCATGAAGACAGCTCAGAGAACTAAATTTTAGCAAAGAGAAGGTACGCACACTCAACTCTATCCAAGTACCTGGATGGCGTCTGGTATGAAAGGATTCTATCAAGGTTATAGCACAAAATAAAATAATATGAAAAATGATCTCTTGTCTGAAGAGTTAAATGAAAGGCATTGGACCTAGATAGTTCAGCTCCAAATAATGTTACTGGATCTTCATGCCATGTATTGCTTCGAAAAGCTGAAACCGCACCATATGTTTTGCAAGAATTATATTATACTGAATCTCTTCCTACCGTTTGCGCACCATAGCATACTATTGTTTTTTGTTCCGTACAATCGTGTTTTCTAATTTTTGTAGAGAATTTGTGCATACTCAAAATTTGATGATGAGTACTATATGTACTGTACAGACTTTTAAAAATCATTCATTATTTAGTGCGAGGGCTCTAAAACTCCGAACCAGACGAGCTGGCTCGAGTTTGATGCCACATAAATTTTTTCAGGTAACGAAATGATTAATTCTATTATTTAATTTTGTTTATGCATATTATTTTCTTGAGCTTAGCTTGAACTTGAAAATTAAGGTTCAACTCGATTCTGTTCAACCTAAAGTTTTTATTTGAGTAAAACAAATAATTTGAATAAAATGAATAATTTGAATTAGAATTTGTATTATGAATAGGAACTCTAGCTCTGTTTTGCATTTCATTTTAATTTTCCACAAATATCTGAGCAAACATCATGAAATTTTATACAGTCAAATCTCGTTTCAATGAATCTTGTTCTAAAGAATTTTTAACATGATATAACGAATTTTAACTACAACTTTCTCATGTGTCACATGGATTCGTTAAGACGAGTTGACTGTATGGATATATTTCAAAAAACATTTTTTTATCAGAAGCACAAATATTATTAAAACGTGGAAACTTGAATTGTTCGCATTTGAAAATTTTAAAAGTTTTTGATTTGTCATAAAATTATTGATGATGTTTTGAATGTTTTAATTATGTTATTGAATTTATTATTGATTTGATTGTATAATTATTCAATTATTTCCAGTGGCCTGCAAAATCGTAATTTTATAATTGAATTGAGTTGTCTCTATATAGATGATATTATGCAAAAAAAAAAATCAATTTTGGTCAGTGGGCAACTAGAACCATTTGTTGCTAGAAACCTTCGTTTCAATCTAAGAATAATTTCATCTGGAGATTTCCTTTGACGTTCCAACAAAAACTGTTCTTGAGAAGTCCTATAATTTAAATTAATATTTTTATCATTATTTTCATTAAAAAGGTTCTTTTTGCTGTTCCTGTACTATTTTTTTGAATCAGCAGTAGTGGCTTCATAATCCCTGTCATAATGTGATGAAGCTTATTACTAAATTGACTGAATCTTATTGTCGTAATAATATTATTTAGGGTATTTTAATTAAAGCATTGTAATCGCTCAATTTTTTTCAATTTATCCCATTCGTTGATCCAAATATCACTTCATCTAATGTCAAGTTAAAAAAATCAACAAGCATTGTTTTTATTGTCGAATAACTCATTAACATACGCATTACAAGCCAAAGTTTGCGTTTAAATATTTTAGAGTTTTGTTTAGGAATGCAAGTACAGTACACGAACTTTTGGACTGGGCTAAAAAGTTCGTTATGGACAAAGTTCTCTATAGAAAATTTGTAGATAATAATAATCATGTGGATAAACTTTATTTTTAAAAAAAAATAATAATATATAACCGCAATTTTTTCATTAAAAAACGAATTACTAAATATTAAACATAAATTACGGAATACTAATGTTAAAACTCAAAATTAAGAAAAAAACAAATGGATCATCAGTTCGTTGTAGACAGTTTGTTACACAGTATAGAGAATTTAATTAGTTTGTAATTATTATAGAGAAAGAAAGAATGTTCTCTACAACGTGTAACGATGATAAACAAACAAACAAACAAATATAAATAGCCTACGGGTTGAAGTTCTACAATATCAATACTGTTGTAAATTAAATCAAAATGGCATGGAGAGTAGACAATATGTAAATGTAAACATACATTGTTGGGAATTTCCTTCTCACACGCTTAAAAGTGGCACTTAATGTCCACCGCACGAAATGGATCGGTAGAGAAACTGGTTTCGATTAAATCTTCAAGTGATACATAATGTTCTATAAATAGTTTAAAACAATATCAATTATTTTTTTAATTTGTATAAATTTAGATTTTCATAGAGTTCAGCGTTTGTTTTTTTGATATATACAGCAGAGGCAAAAAATAAAGACAACAAATTTAGTAATTTCATATTGAAAACCATAACGAAAATATATTTATTTTTTACTATATATATTAATAATGTGGAAAAAATTCCTTCCATTATGATTTTTTTTAAAAAAATGGCCAATTCAATAAATCATCACAATTATTTATTATTAATGATAATCTTCATTTTCTTTTTATTAGATGACTTCAAACATTTGGTGACTTGTCAAATTTTAGATATATCATATCAAAGTTCAATCATATTAAATGATAAACTCTATTTTTTTGGAGGAAATAGTTATAAAACAGATAAAGATGTGAATCAAGTAATTTATATTGATCTATCCACAACATTTTCAACCAATCAACCATTATTACTGAAAAAAATAACAGCTCCAAAAGGAATACCTCCATTTAATGGTGCATCATTGGCATTAGGAGGAACTAACAATGACACACTTTATGTTATAGCTGGATACAGAAACTCTACTAAAAAATATGGATCTATAGTTTATTCATTAAATGTAAATTTATTTGATAAATGGACTCCAGAGAACCTTGTTGGACAATTACAATTAGCTAATCTTAATGATACAATATATGCACAAGATAGTATTGGAAATGCATATATAAAAGGTTATAATGATCCAAACATATATAAATTCGACACTAAAAATTTGATATTTACAATTTTAACACCTGTCAATTATGGTCCATCTATTATTGTAAACTTGGATTATTTGAATTGCCATTTGTTGAATGATGAAACTATTTTTTATTATGATGGAAATGATTTGACTATTGTAAATATTAAATTTATTATTATGGGATAATAAATTATAATTTTATAGTAACAATAATATATATATATATATATATATATATTTAGGTATACTTGTACAGTATTAATAGAAATACATGGTCTAATGTTGTAAGTTCATATTTTTATCGTTAATTATATTGTCAATGAAAAAAAATATTGATAAACTTTTATAATATTAGGTAACAGTTGGTGATAAACCTACTGGACGTATGGGTCATTCTTCGATATTAGGTGATAATTAATTTTTATTTTTTTACTTTTTTTTAAAAAAAAAAAATAATAATAATATTTACATGTTTATTTGTCTATTTATCAGCACCTGATGGGAGAATAATTGTGTATGGTGGTACATTAGGAACAGATCAATTGGCAATATTGGACACGTCACAGAAACCCTTTCAATGGACAGTTCCAACAAATGTTGTTTATCCAATGAATGCATATCATTATGGTCATACTTCAAACTTATATAATAATTATATGATAATTGCATTTGGTAAGTAATAATTATTTTTAATATACAATATAAATATATTAAATGATTATATTAATCATATTTAATTAATTAATTATAGGTTGGTTTCAATTTGGTTTAACTGCACCTCATAAACCCTTTCAAAATATTTTGTTATTAGACATAAGTGATAAAAATAATTATACATGGTCGCTGACCTTTGCTCCTGTGACTGCTCCCGTGACTACTCGATCAACTTCATCCATTTTTCAAACACCAACCAGCACAACTGTTGATAATAAACCAACTTCAGCTACCAATGACACTGCTGCTAGTTCAAGTTCACCATTTGCAACTCCTAACGATAATAAGGGTAATGTAGCTATAATTGTTGGATCAGTTTCAGCCGGTGCAGTCTTTATAATTGCCTTTTTTATTGGTGCTCTTTTTATGTATAGGAGAAAAATGAACCCCAAAACAAGAGGGATCAATGAAAATGAAATCATCGGTAGTAGTATTATTGATCTCACTAGAAATAATAATACATATGATAGTAAGACTGAACCTGCAATATTATTAAATTAACATTAACATAATCAAAATTATTTTATAAATTATATATATATATATATATAACTATTCCCAATGTAAATTAAAGATTTTCTATGTAATAAAAGAATTAATTTTGTTATTATAATTTCCAAGTTTAAATTTTTCTCATATTTAAGTGAATATCATAAAAAATTTTATTGGGTTATAACCACCAACTGATTCACCAGTTTCTTTTATGATAACTACAATTTGTCCAATGTTACTATTACATTTATCTTCAAAAGTTTGACCCCACAAGGATTAAAATCGTAAGATAAATTATTTTTATATCCAATTAGAAAATTTGCTATTTTTGGACCTTTTAATTCCATCTAATGTCAAGTTGATGTTTTATAAGCATTGATTTTTATTTTTTATTATTCTAAAATTCATTAAGGACCATATTCAATTAATGAATTAATCAAATAGTTCATTGATTGACGCACACAATTAATTCATCATAAGTTATAAAGCATCATATGGATCTATAGCGTGCTCACGTGCTACGAAATAGCTTTTATTAGTATTAGGAATGCAAATAAGTTATTGGATTCCGTGATAGTAGTAGTATAGGCTTTTCTTGAACTATGCAGTATTTCTCGGGTTACTAACATTATAAAAAGTTCTTTAGTGTTGGGAATTTCCTCTCACTTGTTTAAAAAAGACGAATGTAGATTCCAATGTGTCATAAACGGGAGTCATTTTATTTTTTTTTGGGAAGGAAACAAAACAAATAATTTATCCACATCATTCATGCAACATTACCAATGAAACTAATACAACGTAATGCCTCCATTTGATAGTTCATCATTAGAGTTAGAAGGCAAAAAAAACTTTTTTTAATGAATTCTAAATTTTAAAGGGTTTAATTTTATGAAACGTGTAATGATTTGAATTATTACAAGGAGGCCATTTGGAAAAGAAGTATATCTACATGAAAGTGTCCAAGTTATGTCCTTAAACAACAGATTATTCGAAACAAATATATTTGTAAATAACGCAGTAGATATAGTAATAAACAAAAATTGATGGTAATAGTAATAGCTTTAGGTGTTTGCATCCGTTGATTATCCCGGGTGTTTGAGTACTTGGTCAATCAATAAAATTCAACCGAATAAGATTCCGAACGAATTAATGAACTTTGGCTCGAATCTAATTCAAATATATTAATATGACAATAATTGCATTTGACTTTTCCATCTACAACTCTTCTTTGAACACATTGCGCTGTATAATGAAATTATCGTCATTCATCATTATTTAAATTTAAAACAATAATTGTGCAGAGCTTCTATTCGAATAAGCATACAAATACTCAAATTCATAACGAACAAATTTTATTCGAATAGAAACCCTATTATTATGACATTATAAGAAATTTAGAATCCAGTTTGATTCGAATTCGTTCGGAGCCTTGAATATCTTGCTTCATCTGGATAAAATTAACAATATTCTGTACCACTGATTATTTTTCATCTAATAGTTGGTCGGTGAATATCATTCGGTGGAATATAGCCACTAGATAGATTTCTTAAAATACATTCATGTGTGCTCACCATCCACAAAACTGAAGATTGACCTTGCCTCATGTAAACATATATACTATCTGTAGATGAAAAAAATGCCAAGTATATGTTTAACACTAAGCGGAGTAAATTCTTTAAATACATTTCAGATCCTAAAATTCAAAATTAAACACTAAATTTACACTTGTTATTGTTATTGCTGCAATAATCCCGTTCTGAATATTTGATTCACAGCATCACAAAGATTTAAATAATTTTATCAACAATAAACCAAGACCCTCTTACGTGCCTAAACTTTGAGTCCAAAGGGTTATTTATATTATCAAAATCTAATTAAATTATAAATAGTACATAGTAAAGTAATTAAAATTAATTAATAAATTGGAAAACTATAATTTTTTATCTTATATCCACAACTCGATTATTAGTGACGCCATTATTATTATTATTATAGCTGTAGCCATTAAAATTATCTCTTTTTTCTTTTCTTTTACATACAACAAAAACAACAATGGTAATAATAATAAGGAATACACCGGCTATAACTGGTCCAATAATTATAGCAATGTTAGGAGTTGTGTTTGTGACCTCTGAATAAGTGGGTTGATTAGTAGCACTGGTGGGTTGATTAGTAGTACTGTTGGTAGCACTGGTGGTGCTGACTGTAGTTATCAAAGGAACAAATGTGTCCAGCCATTTATAATCATTTTTATCACTAATATCCAATATTAAAATATTACGATATGGTTTAGCGCTATCTACGCCAGCAGTTTGAATCCAACCTATTAACAATTAATTCAACAATATGATTAATAAACATATGTAAACATATATTATATTAAGATGTAGTTCAAAAGTTATTATTTACCAAATGAAATTATCATATAGTTTTTATACAATATTGAACCGTGATCAAGATGATAAAGATCAACTGGATAAGTAATATTAGTTGGAATTGTCCATTCATAAGGAAATTTAGTTGTATCTAATATTGCCAATTTGTCTGGCCCTGCAGTACCACCATATACAATTATTCTTCCATCGGCACTAAAAAAACAATTATTTAATATTTTTTATTTAAAAAAAAATACCTTTTTTTTTAATTGATAATTGATATTCACCTGATACTGAAGAATGTTCATTCCGTTTAGAAGGTTTATCACCACCTGTTGTCTATTAACATAGAAAGTTTATTAATATTTTTTACTGATAATAATTAGCAATGAATACAATAAATATGTAAACTTACAATATTAGACCATGTATTTCCTTTAATGTTGTATAAATACACCTAAAATATATATTTATTATTATAATATATAATATAATCATAATAAATTTATTATTTACCACAGTTAGATCTTCTCCAATAAAAATAATACTTTCATCATTAAACAGATGGCAATTGTAATTAAATGGATCAAGATTTGGACTGTTATTGCTTAATGTTGAAGTTGTAAATATCAAATTATTAGAGTTGAATTTATGTATGCGTGTATCATTGTAACCTTTTATATAAGTATTTCCATTATTATCTGATGTATATATTGTATAACCAAAAGTTTTTAATTCTGACTGTCCATTATAATTTTGTGGAATCCATGTATCAAATGAATTTGTGTTTATTGAATAAACCATGGATCCATAATTTATATCAACAACTTCAAGTGATGGATTTCTAGTTCCAGCTATAACATAAAGAGTGTCATTATTAGTTCCGCCTAATGCTAATGTTGCTCTATCAAATGGAGGTATTGCTGATTTCGGAACAATTTGTTGTTTTATTGGTAATGGCTTATTGAGTGAAAATGAAGAGGATAGATCAATGTATAATATTTGGTTTGTTAAATTGTATAAATAATCAGCTGTATAATTAAAATATCCTCCAAGAAAATAGATTTTATCATTCAATATGATTGAACTGTGACCTCCTAAATCCAATACTTGACCAAATCCCATATAGATGAATTTATCTAAAAATATTAAAATTGTTATCAATAAATAACCGTGATTAAACATTTTCGAAATAAACATGAAGAAAAAATTAGACAGAATTTAAGTTTCATTTTTTATTGCCAATCTGGGATTGTGAAATTTTTAAGGTTTCACTCGAATTAAATCAGCAGTAATATATACAAAAACAAAAACAACAATAAGGATTAGAAGAATTGAATCTTGGTGTTAAAAACAATAATAAGAAAAATTATCGCTGCTTGATAAGTAGTCAAGCTTTCGTTGAAAATCACCTAATACTAAATGCTAGATGATTATCTTTGATACAAATAATATATCATGTACTTGACATATTAATGTTTATAGATGATTTTTATCCGATACTTTTGACTAATAGTTTTTCATTAAGTGCCATTTGGCAATTTGACGAAAGTGAAAATTTTGACTAAAATAAAAAAAAGTAGACAATTATTTTTTTATGGCATGAATAATAGTTTTCTAAGCCAGTAAATTGTAATAATCCTTTTTATTTACATTCGATTACAGTAAAAAAATTTTATTTATAAACATATTATTGATAACCTTTTCCAATTCCAGTTACCTTTATTAATTGATTAACTTGGTTATTATAAGCACTCTCAGAATCTCTAAATGAAAATGGTAAATCGGATCAGTTCATTGTTTTATCAGTCAGTGTTCTTTTCAATGAATTGAAATTTCATATTGTTTCAAATGATCGTAATTATATCAATAATGGAAGTTGTATTATTGGCCATGAAAACGTGATGATGTTATAATAATAATCAAGTTATTTAGATATTAAACCAGGTATAATGTATATAGATAGGTTTGAGTGAATATTATAAATAAACAAACACAATAAGGTCCAGTCATATGTGTCTGAAATTGTACATTATCAATTAAATTGGGTCTTTATCTATTTGTGTTGTATAAATTAAATGAATCTACGGAATTAGAATCTTCTATACTAATGATGATGTCTGCTCGATACAATTTCCAAATAGACTTGCTTAACACCAATTGGTAAATTCTTCACGAGAAGTTCTTCTATCATTACAATATTTGCATATTTCCAGGAAATCACCACATAGTAATAGTGTACAGTATTTATTCGAGAGTTCACTTATAATGTATGGGTTTATTGTCAACGAATCTGACTATCCCGTCAAATACAAATTTTCTCAAAATTTTACATAGCCTACATTCTCAAGAATATAAAATGTAAATTTCACTTGTGTGTTTGATTAATGGGTCTTAAATAAGTATAATTGAAACTGTTTTTTTTTTACTAGAACTCGAGAATATATTTAAGCTTCGTGATAATATTGATGATAATTTGTAACTTTTATAATAGAACACAACATAACCATTATAATTATTATAATAAGATCAATAATGAATAAAGAAAAAAAATGCATTGTAAATTTTTGTTCTCTATAGGAAAATTCATGTTTCAAAAAATTTCATACATCTCTGTTAAATTCAAAAAATTCATCTCTTGTTTTAATTGCAGCATTAATACAAACAATTATAAAGTAGCAAGCAGTGTGTAAAAATGTGGCCTTTCTAAAAGATTTTATATATAGCGAAGACGTCAAATGGGAGCACGTGATTTCGCACAATTATGATCAAAGACATATATTAATATCGAGATAGATTTTATTTATTGAAAACGTGTTTATGAATTATTCAAAGGCCCGACGAACTTTTAATCGATGAAATTTATATCTTCGTTTCAAATTTATTAAATTTATGATCCAAGAAATAAATAAAAACAACCTTCACTCGAATCAAAACTAAACAAAAATTCAAATAATAAAAATCATCTCAATATTAAAATAACTGATCGACTTCATTGTTGCCCATTTTTACTACAATAGTATCAAGTTCCAATTAGCTATAAGCTTCAATTTTTCCGAGCTTCAATTAACTGGACGAATTAATTGTCTACTCATCATTTAGAAATTAAATAAAGAGTAAAATTCTAATTCTTTCGTGACACTACATTGTGTTTAATTAATATACCAAAAACAGCTGTTCAGAAAAAAAAAAAATACGATTATTTAGAAGCCAAGGAATATTTCGTTTCAGGCAAATTTCGGTTTATATTCTGTAGCCAGAGTACAAAGATTTAAAATTTAGTTATTTTATAAGGATCCAACAAATTTGGATTAGAAATTCAATAATTTACACGCGAATTGAAATTTCAACACTGGTATCCAGAAAATTTTTTTTTTAACAGTCTCATCGGTTAAACCCGTCCTCTTGTATCACTTTGCTGTACAGAGGGAAATATAAATAAAGGCAAATTTCTTGTTATTATTTATTTTTTCATTTAAAAAAAATGGATTGTTTAATAAATTATCATGATTATTTATTATTTAGGTCATTAATAATAATTGTCATTTTATTTTTATTAGATTTCAATAATTTGGTATCTAGTCAAACACTAGATATAGCATTTCATAATTCAATCATATTAAATGATAAACTTTATTTGTTAGGAGGAGATACTAATTACCAATCTAATGATAATTATCTTTATACAAACCAAATAATTTACCTAGATTTATCCATACCATTTTCACTCAGCCAACCATTATCAATAAAACTAGTTACTTCAAAATTAATAATACCTCCATTTTCTCATGCATCATTAACATTGGGAGGAACTAATAATGATAAACTTTACCTTATAGCTGGAAATAGAAAATCATCACCTAATACTTTAAATTATGGATCTGTAGTTTACTCAATAGATGCAAATTTATTTGACACATGGACTCCAGAGAACCTTGATGGACAATTACAATTAAATAAAGTTGGTGGAACAAGATACACACAAGATAATAATGGAAACACTTATATATCAAACTCCTATGATCCAACTGATCCAAATATATATAAATTCAATTCTAAAAATTTGATATTTACAATTTTAACACCAAGTAATAATGGACCACCTATAGCACGCATGGATTATTATAAGAATCAATGGTTAAATAATGAAAGCATTATTTATATTGGAGATGTTATGACTATTGTAAATATTATAATTTATTATAATTGTTTATTCCAAATGATAAGAATAAAAGAATTATGATTTATAATATTAATAATTTATATACATATTTAGGTGTACCTATATAATATCAATCAAAATTCATGGTCTAATATTGTAAGTTATATATAATAATCATAATATATAAATATTAATAAAATTTTTACTATATTAGACAACAGTTGGTGATAAACCTTTTGCACGTCTAGGTCATTCTTTAGTGTTAGGTAAAGTAATTTATTTTATTAAGTATTATTTTTTTAAATCATATAAATATTTATTTATTTATTTATTAGCACCTGATGGAAGAATAATTGTGTATGGTGGTACAGATGGACCAGACAAGTTGGCAATATTGGATACAAATCAAAACCCCTTTCAATGGACAATTCCAAC